AGTATATATATTTATACACACACACACACACACATATATATATATATATATATATATATATATATGTGTGTGTGTGTGTTCGTGTGTGTGCGTTTATGTGCATGTGTCTGTATGTGTGTGTATTTATACATGTTTATACATATACACACACACACATATATATATATATATATATTTATATTTTGTATTTATATAAATACATATATATAGATATATATATATATATATATATATATATATTTATATTGTGTATTTATATAAATACATATATATATATATATATATGTATGTATGTATGTATATATATATATATGTATGTATACTAATATATCTATATATATTTATAGTATCTATATGTGTTTATATTATTATATATATATATATATATATATACTATTTTTGCTATTATTAATATATATATATATATATATATATACATATATATATAATATATAATATAATATATATTATTATATTATATTTAATATGTGTGTTTGTATGTGTGTTTGTGTGCGTGTGTGTGTTTGTGTATTTGTGAATGTATTTGTGAATGTCTATATTGTGTGTGTTTATTTGTATATATACATATGTGTATGTGAGGACATATATTTGTGCAAGTTGTGTACTCACTTTATAAAAATTTATGCATGCGCGAACAGATATATGTGCATTGTACATATCTACATAAAGCGATAGCAACAAGGTGTAGAAGCCTGTACACATATCGTTAATGTAAAATACTACACATACATATATCTATGTCTGCGCACAGCATTACATGCCTCAAAGTAGACGTATTACTTTGATTCCATTGAATACACGGAAATATACATTATATTTGTACGCACTATATCATGTTCACTTCAGCATATCCTATACAGCCGTGATAACTACCGCCTTGTGTGTCCGTGCTGCTGTTGAGCTCTATTGTATACCTTCTTGACTTTCGCTCGAAATACGGATCTCAAAATCTGTTCGAAAATTCCAATGAATGAGCAGTCGAGGCGATGAGAGGGCAATGTGACATATTACAAGCACAGCTGGAAGAACAGAGCAAGCACCACCAGAACGACATGGAGACGTTGAGATTCAACAGCGAGGTAATCTCTCAGCAGTGGACCACCCAGGCAGCAGAGGCTATCAAAGGACAGGTACAAGCATACCGTGACGTGCAGAGGGACAGGAAATGTACACACAGTGTATCAATAGTGTATTCATGCACGCATGGATGGTGCTGGCAAACGATCTGTGTTGGTATTAGTACGATTGCCAAACCACAAGAATACACATGGTCCTTCCAAACCTGTATGCATAATTTGTTTTACACATCGATTTTTTAATTTATAGGTATGTATGTGCTTGTATACAACACACAATAGTAAGTGTGGTCAAATTATGGAATCTTTGCTGGTTTAAGCCAGTTCTAAACTTGTCCCTATGTATGGAAGTTACGCAAGCGTCTCCATGTACAATACACACTTCATATACAAGTACACGTGTGTTTAGTATACCATCGACTATGAGAACTAGTGCGTGGATTGCCCAGTAATGTCTGAGATATGTGTATCGTATCAACACTTGCTTCTGGCGTTGGACTTGTGTTACCGTAGTTGCACACACTGTTTGCGTACAATTTCCGCTTTGTATCGCTGCTACTCTCTGCAACGCTCACCATCTATTCCATGCGCTTTTATAGTACGTCTCATGAAAGTATTTAGGCCGCGGATACCAATGACGATGTTATACTTCGTGTCGAATCTGTCCTATTGCATCATTTACAGCGGCTATACATCCCGCGTCAATCAAAGGGCGAAGCATGCATATATAATGCTTTCACATGGAGTAGCCGCTACGTAAACTCATCCTGTTTTCTATTGAAAACCATCATGCTGAAAGGATTTGCATATCGAGAGAGTGCACGAGTTGGTAAATGAAACCGTCGAACAACTCCATACGATAGAAACAGAAGCAATACAACAGAGAGACACTACAATCGATGGGCTAGTCAAGCAGGTGAGTTGCCCCTTCAGATGTAACCACTGTGCCGCACGCACATGTATATTGGAAATGTGCGCACAGGTGCATGCAGACGCAACTGCAACTGGATTTGTTCTTCAAATGCACTATAAAACCATTAGCTGTTCGTTTGTCCAGGGAGAGGAACAGCTTATACTGCCTCCAACAAGATGTTTCAACCTGACGTGTCTATTAGGTTTTATGATCAGTTCAAACTTGTATAGAGATTCATTCCCATGTGTGATACATACTTCAAAGCTGAATTCGCGTACGCTTGTGGTATAATTGTGAAACGCGTTCAGCAACGCTCAACGGTGGCCATTCTTATCTACAGGTCAGATCTGAATCATCGTTTGCGAACATGGTGAAGCATCTGATCCTTGCGTTATTCGTGGCTGTGGCAGTGGGAATGTATGTTCAAAACGCATCTCAACTTGTCAAGTGCGAACAGAAGGACCAGGCGGTCTATCAATGTCAAGCTCAAGCCTTGACTCATAACAAGACATTAAGGTGAGCTTGTTGTGGCAACTAGAAAGGCTCGGTAGTCTGTAGTATAATTGTGATCCCATTCGTTGCCCAAGTGCTTTTACTGAGGATTTTCCTTCCGAGCTACTACACTCGTGATAACCATGAAAATAGGAATGCTTGCCAAGCGCTGATTTGATGACTTTCAAAAGCATATCAGCAGTTTCACTTGATATGTCGCTTCTGCTTCTGCCAAATACTCTCATGAAATCCCTGTCTAAGGTTAGCTAGGTGCAGGCATATATATCTAGATGTTAGTTATATTTGTAAATATATGGCCCTCTTAATTTTTGGATGGGAACACAGAGTATCAGGCCGGTGACAAATATTGTTACTATGTCGAAACCTCTGCAATAGTGTGGCGGTGCGATGAATGTGGGGCTCTAAACAGCTTGTTCAGGATAGCTGATTTTCTCGCAGAATTAATGAACTGGTGTTGGAAAGGACTCAATCAAACCCACGATTGGGTTGCACAACGTACATACACTTCTGGCGAAACGCTGTAGATAACCACTTGCAAACTTGTTAATAAGATTACATACACACACAGCCCACGCATAAAATCCGGTATTGCTTACATTATAGGTATCTCCACCAACACTGTGACGCCGAAAGTAAGAACTACGAATACAGGCTGGCCACAACACAGCAAAATGTAACAATGCTGCTGATGCAAAAGGACATGCAATGTGATGAAAGGCTTCAGCAGGTGGCACCGCATGAGAAACAACTCATAACAATGACCAGCAACTACAAGCGGACATTGAGGTATGCAATAAATGCAAACAAGCACAAGTGTAATCTATTATTCTGATACGCATGCATGAATACAACACCATATAGAATACGTGCATCCGTGTGTTTGTCAACTGCGCCTACTGCAGACCTTATCTGGTGCAGTTGGAAGTTTAAGCCAAACGTAGTAGGACGGCCAGCGATCAATTTGCCTTCTCTCACATTGGGCCAGCCAAAGCACCGCACGATCTATTTCAGTGTCTGTTTTTAAAAACCACCTCAACAGGCCAACATACAATCCTTATCGAGTCCGAAAAAAAATCCCACGTGGTCTGTCAATTAGACATACATCAGACAGGTTGAACTATTAGTCGAAATAGACCTACACCTGACTGATTGAATCTCTTTCACTATAGTTCCCTGTCTAAGAAATGTGGTATGTGGAGTACGCATGCCACTGACGAACTACGGAGTTCCGCTGCTGCTGCTGCTGCTACTGGTGGCACTTCCGGTATGTTGTGTATCAGGAGCGGGATGTGTTAACATATTCGGGTTTTCCTATTCGCATTCATTAAGATACGCTGAAACCCACAACCCACCATTGGGGAAAAACGTTCTACATCGAGGAAGTCCATACAACGAAATTATTGGATTGATAAGTGTCGCATATGCTCAAATTGGGTCCCTGTAGCATTGCATTGGATGTGGAGAACTTATGTGTGCTTTCAAGCATAAGCCATGAGCACACCCCATACGTGTACACGAAATGCGTACCGGAGTATATACAAGCTACAGTATCCGATTCTATCGCTTTCGCAGATTCTCATAATTTCGCTTTTGTTTCCTCCTAAAGCCTCTACGGAAGCTAGTTTGCACCTCCTACCTTTCCTATAGTAAACAATACAAAAGCGATGACTATTCTTCTCGGTTCAAAATGAGTGTTTGATAAGAATTACTGATGCTGAGTATACTGTTATACGACCGACTTAACCTTTCTACTACTTGTTTTTTGGGGGGAAATGTAGTGTGGAGTCTTCTCGGCTTTCCGGGTTGTTCAGCCTCGTGTGATCTTTCGATGTGCTCTCGACTGCTCAGAGGTGGACATACTATATGCGAGGAATTATATGAACAGCACGTGGCTCTGGCGGAGTGAGACAAGCCTTTCGTACTGATTTAGTATAAACACATAGAGCTATCTATGAATAAAGGGGTGTCGTTCCGATCTTGACTTGATAACTGTTGATGCGAAATATCCTTCATTCACTCTGCGAGTGCTACTCGGGAAAGTAACCACTCTCTGGATGGCTTTATGTTGTCAGTTAACCACAGGACACACTATGTGTGGTGCTGCAGGGAATGACTATCCCAATTTGCGGTGATGAGGATCGATAACTGACATACTGAAATGGAGGTGACTATCCTTCAGGATAAAATCCGTGTGTTTTTTTAGAAGTAAGTTTTGTTTCCTGTAGCCGACAGGGAACTGACTATTTTCGTACTTGTATTCAGCACAACATAGACTATATATGTAAAATGTATGAAACTTGAACTGGTCTCAAATAAAGCGGAGAATATCTTACTGTGCCTCGTCAGAAATAAAAGGATATCAATTTGATTGAAAACAAAATGAGAATTTCTTATCTAATGTTATAGTTTGACGGTAGTGAGGTCTCTTCGTCTCGTATCACTTCTCAATATTGTTTGCAAAAGTCTTAAAATGTTTGTGTCGATGATTTTCTAGCAACACTCACACTCTAATTTACTGCAAATTTTGTAGCGCAGATTGCAGTATTTGCGAGGTCATACCGCTGTACGTTATCTGCCTCGAATTATGTGCAATTTATATTTATATTTATTGCTTTTTCTAAATTGATTTAATCATTGTTAAACAAAAATACAATGAGATACAATTTTCAGATGAGGTAGAAAGGGTCACCTGATGAGTTGCTAAAATGCTGTCCTGGTCCGGTCGCACCTACTTAACCGTATATTATGTAATTAACAAATAAATTTTTAAAGAAGGACAGAGTTTGGTAATCTCTACTGCCAAAGAACATGCCAGCTCCACCATGAATTTAATATACAAAATGGTTTGGATCCTAGAACATATTCTGAACCCCAATCACCACATTGTAATAATCCCGAATATGGAAAGTACGTATTTAAGGGCTAGTTATAATATATGTTGTATGTTATATTAGTAATTATCATAAGTGTACTTTTCAATTCCATATTTTCCCATCAATTGTGTTATTTATATATATATATATATATATATATATATA